TGCTACCATGGTGGGCTGCTTTGGTGTTTCCCCACAACAGGGATATTCAATTTTAGTATGTTATGGTCACTATTAGCAAGTCATGCAGCTATATTCACCTCTTGGACCAGATCCTGTGCTCCATTTAGGACTAAATCAAGAATTGCCTCTCCCCTTGTGGGTTCCAGGACTAGCTGCCCCTCCTCCGGCTGCGGCAGGTCCCTGGGCGGGTTCCCTGAGCACCTGCGTGGCGGTACCTAGGCTGTCGGGCGGCTGCGTGGCTCACAGGGACCCACCCAGGCCCTTTTAAATTGCCCAGGTCCCTAGGCAAGTCCCCCTTTCCTCCCCCTCGGCGGCCTGCCAGCCCTAAGGACCCGGGCTCACAACCGTCCGGGCTCCCAAGAGCGACAGCCTCCCAGCCCATCCCCAGCCCCGTCCCTGTGAGCCCGTCCGCCAGCCCATCACCCTCACCTCAGGGCATGTGCCTCCCATGGCCCCGTCATCCCTGCACGGCCTGTGGGGGAGAGACCCGTCTCCTGCCCCTCTGCCCCAGGGCTGCCAGTGCCCTCAGCAGTGCCCGGCCTGCCCCCAGGGCCTTCCGGGGCACCCGCTAGCCTCCCCACCACCCTTGTTCCCCTCCGCCCGGCAGGGGTGGCTGGGCAAGGACCTGGCCCCTCCATGGGGTGCTCGGGGGAGCAGTGGGATTCTGGCCAGCGCCGGGGGAGACGCTCCCTGTGCACCCCCCCCAAAGCTGCAGCTGGGCGGGGCTGGTGCGGCAGGCGGGGGCTGGGGACAACGCTGGGCATTTCCCCCTTTGCCTTGCAGAGACCTGAGCAACAACCAGATCTCGGAGATCGCGCCCGACGCCTTCCAGGGTCTGCGCTCGCTGAACTCGCTGTGAGTCCCCGCGCCGGCCCCGGCCACCCCCAGCCCCCTGCCATGGGCTTCACCGCGCCCAGAGCCCCGGGAATCACACGGGGGAACCCGACCTCCAGCCTCACTAATCATCACGCTGCCCTGGGACCCCTCTGCTCCACCAACGCCGCTCACTCCCGACCCGCAGCCCCCTCCCATCCCAGCTCTGGGTCCCCCTCTACTCCACCAATGCCCCTCACTCCCGACCCACAGCCCCCTGCAGGTTTGGTCCTCGGCCTCTCTGGAGTGAGGATGAACAGCCCTGTCTGTGGCGCGGCTCGGCTGAGGCCAGCGCGTCGCACTGTGAGGTGGGTCCGGTTTGGCGGCGGAGGTAAGATCGCTGGCCAGGCCGGAGGCTGGGGGCCCCAACAGCGTGGGGTGGCCCATACTGGGGGTCGGTAAAGCTGGGGGCTGTGGGGCAGAGGTCGGGGGATCCGTGCTCCTTCCTGGGGTCCTGTGGGGATCCCCGTTCGCTGGGCTGGGGGCTCAGCCCGATGCCCGGGGGCTGCGTGCGAGCGACTGGCTCTGTCTTTTCCAGCGTGCTGTATGGGAACAAGATCACAGACCTGCCCCGGGGCGTCTTCGGGGGACTCCACGCGCTGCAGCTTCTGTAAGGATGCGGCGGCTCCGGCAGGGGGCGGGAGCCCGGGGCCTGCCCGGCTCTGCTCTCGGGAGCCCAGCGTGCCAGCCCCGGTGTCGGCGGGGCCCAGAGCAGGGCCGGCCTGC